ATCCAGATGTTATAGGAATGAGCACAGGGCCAGGGAGATGGCATCTGTCATGGATCTGTTGTGACAGTAGACAAATTGCAAGGGATCAAGGCAGGCTGAGAATGTGAGCTGATGTCAGCCATGAATCACTTTTCAAAGCACTTCAAAAAATTACAAAGGTCAGAGTCACCGGACAGAAGTCAATGATGCATGGTGCATGAATTCTCTTTGGCACCAGGATGATGGTGGTCTTCTTGAAACAGGTGGGGACTCCAGATCATAGTAAGGAGAGGTTAAAAATGTCAGCAAATACTCCTGCCAGCTGGTATGCATGGACTCCATCTAGGCCAGTCACTTTCCCTGGGTTCCTTCTCATAGAAGCCAATCTGACATCTGCAGCAGTGATTGAGAGGACAGGTGCACCCAAGGCTGCTGGGACAGGTGACATCATTTCACTGACCTTATATGATCTTTTTGAACAGAAAATGCATCGAGTGCATCAGGGAGGGAAGTATTTTTGTCTGTTGTTCTGTTCAGCTTCGCTTTGGAAGGACTGCCTCTAATACCAGTATATCTTTCCTTGGATCGGGGGCCCAAAACTGCTTACACCAAGCCAGCTATGGTTTGACTAGTGCTTTATACAGTTTTAGAGAAACCTCCCTACTTTTATACTCCATCCCCTTTAAAATAAAAGTCAAAGTTCCATTTGCTTTCCCCATTACCCAATGAACGTTTACTCACTGAGCACTTCATAATTTATGCACAAGGACTCCCAAATCCCTGATTTGCAGCTTTCTGTAGTCTTTCTCCACATAAATAATATCAAGTTCCTCTATTCTTTCTGCCAAATTGCAGAACCTCATTTTCCCACATTATAATTCATCTGCCAAGTTTGTGTCTACTCACTTAACCAGATGATATCCTTCTGCAAACCTCTGTCATCCTCACCACTTGCCATCCCACCAATTTTTGTAACATCCACAACCTCAGCTATGGTACATTCACTTTACTCATCATTGGATCGAAGGGTCTGTTTTGATGCTATACATCTGACTCAAATCATTAATATATACTGTAAATAACTGTGGCCCCAGCACACAACCCTATGACATAAAGCTAGTTACAGGCTGCCATCTGAAAATGCTCCTCCTTGCTGACGATGCAAAGCTAGGTGATTTGTCTTTTTTTTGGGCAGGAGTGGTGGTGGGCATGAACATAAGAGGTTGTAAAGGGATATAGACTGGTTTAGCGAGTTACCACTAAGATGGCAGATGGAGTATAATATAGAGAAATATCAGATTATTTGTCTTGGTTTTAACAACAGATAAACAGAATTTTTAAAAAAGGCCTGAAACTTAAGTGCTATGTTCAAAGATACAAGAACCAAAACTAACATGCAAGTGTAGCAAATGATCAGGAAGGCAAATACCATGTTGACCTTCACTGCATGTGTACTGGAGTACAGGAACAAAGTCACTTCCTAAAACAATACAGGATTTTGTTGAGGTATGTGGAGTACTGGATGCACAGTTAGTCTCCATATTGATACAACTTTCACTAAAGGTGGTCTAGTGAAGGTACACTACATTGCTCACTTGGATGAGAACATTGTCCTATAACAACAGACTGAGCAAACTGGGCTCCAAACCAGGTCCTCCCTGCCATTCCAGCAGGAGCTATAGCCAAGAACAAGAAACATGCATCCTTGTGGACATCAGCAGAGGCAACACCCAGGCTGCACCGACATGGAGGTCTTTGCTGATGCGGTCCAAAAAACATCCATGTACTGGTGACAAGACCGTGATATCCCCCAATTCACATGCCAAGGTGGTGACTTTACACAACATGATGGCACTGGTCGGAAGTCCATTTATGGTGAGAAGTTTGCTGACGAGAATTTCCAATTGAAGCACACAGGACCTGGTACCCTGTCTATGGCCAATGCCAGGACAAATACAAATGGATCCCATTACTTTATACGTACAGTTAAAACTGCATGGTTGGACGGAAAGCATATTGTAAAGTTAAGGGCTATGATATCGTGCAGAGGATGGCAAAACTAGCAATACTGTTTGCATTGTTCACAAATAATAATGCGAACAGAATTCCACAAATTAAATTAAACTTGATTACTTGAAATTACAAAAAACAAGAAAAGGGCCTATATTCTCTGAAGTTTAGAAAAATGAGCACTGTCAATTAGATGTACTAGATCCTAAAAAGCCCCACAGGATAAGTGCTCATTGTTTCAGCTGGAGAATTTAAAACACTGGGGCAGACTCTAATGATAAAGTGGTGAATTTAGGACTGACATAAAGATAAATTACAAAAGGTTGCAAATCTATAGAATGTTTCCACCTCAGAGCTGTAAATCTTCCATGCTGAATATATTTAAGGCTAGGATAGAGAGATATGTGATATCTCAGAATCAACCAATGTGTGGAACAGGCAGGAAGGCAGAGTTGAATCTTGAGATCAGCAGCCATGATCAGACTAAAATGACATAGCAGACTAAACAGGCCATGCTCTCCACTCCTGCTCCTATATCTTAGTTCTTCAAAATGCAGTAGATCACCAGAGGTGGGGCAAATACAGACTATTTCATAGGGATGGTATTTGGCAGTATTAATGATGGTGCAGAAACTTATCAGAAGGTTAACATAGCGTCAAGCCTGCAAACACTGTGGTTGCCTCCCAGAAAGTTGCCAGGACACAGATGGAATATTATTTGTCCAATGAGTACACAGCAGGGACCAAGAACAACAGCTCCAGCCTTCTCAAAATTTACTTGCAGGCAATTTCTCCTTATCCAGTATTAGATATCAATAACGTGGTAGCAGCAAAGAGTTTAAAAAAATTTAGAGAATATAGAATTCAATGTGATCAGCACAGTCCTGAAGACTGAACATTGTGCTTTGGGATGGTCTCTGACAGGGCACGTATTGACGGGAAATCAAATTCAGCCAAGGATAGAATCCTATATGTCCTTATAGGTCACGTTGCAGGAGTGAGAAGAGAAGCCAATGCAAATAATACTCTGGCTACAATTAAACAGCCAAGAATTAAGAATATATTGTACTCAAAATGTATTTTGTATAATACACACATGGCAGAGCAGTCTCAAAAGGGCAAGCAGCTTACTCTCGTTCCTTATGTTTAGGGTCATTGTCAAACTGTATTTTTGACACTTCTATCTGTAGAATATTGAATGGCAAGTTAGAGAACTTATTTTTTATCCAAACTGCAAATACGTTCTAAGTACAATGAAGGTCAAGAGCAATTTAATTTTTGAGAACTCTACAAGCTATTTGCGTATTTCAAAGTTTTAGTCAAAAACAGAATTTACAAATTTATCAAACTATCAAAAAAGTCTACGTAATTTTCATCCACATTCCTCCCAGCCTCAATTACCATGCTCTCTGCAGAGGGCGTTACGTCCCAGCCACCAGTAAAATAAATTTCTCACACAAACTTATGACTTATTAGCTGGAGAAGGACATTTCAATCTTAACAGCCTGCTCTGCCATAGGATCATGACTGACCTGATTGTGACCTTGGCTTCACATTCCCCACCTACCACTGCTAGCCACAGCTCCCTCGTTAGTCAAGAATCCATCAAACTCCATCTTAAAAATATGCAATAACCAATATGCTCACTGAGGAACAGTTCCAAAGACTCATGAAGCTTTAAAAATTTCCCCTCATTTCAGTCTCAAACAGAAGACCCTTTTCCACTCCCAAATGGAAGCCCACATTTATATTTTATTTCAAGGGTGTCAATTTGGTCACCTGATCTGAATGAAGAATGTATCCAGTCCTAGGCAGTTTCTTCCAGAATTTTTGGCAATTCTCAAACCTTCCCCTTAAATATCAAAAGTTTTCAGGTTCAAAGTGTCACAAGTCTTGACCACATAACCCACAATCACACCTCTGTGCAGTACTGCCAGATTGCTGCAACTTGGGAGGTATTGTCTTTTGAACAAAGCATCGAATGGAAGCTTTCTGGTACAAGGTGGTAGTAAAACATCACATGGCACTACTTGCATTTGAAAATGAGATCTCTCTCCACTGTTCTGGCAAATACTTTTCCTTCAACGTCACTGAAACAAATTATCTGGCCTTTACGTTATCACATTTCTTTAACCACACAAAAGGAACCTCTTTGCCACTTCTCACCATATACATGTATTAAATAAAACGATAACCTACCTAAAAATATAAATATACACAACAGAATCTATGGCATGGATTGTCAAATCAACGGTGCATAATTGAAACTAACATAATCAAGTGTCCAATGAAGGGCAAGGTACATTCATTTTGAACTCTACTCAAATTCAGTTAAAAAAAAACAAAGTTAAGCCACACTAATAGGAAAGTTCTCAGCCCAACATCCAGTCATCCTATTACTGATTTCAAACGTGGTGACAGCAGAAATACACCAGTCTTAACACCTCTCACGGGGGTTGGCGGTTGGCGGGGGGCGGGGGAGAAGGAGAAGGAGGAGGAGGAAAGAGAGGGAGGTAAACCACACAATTTTCAATTCAAAATATAGTCCAGCAAGCTCTATTCAAAATCGTTCTTGTGGAAATATCAAATTTATTCAATATTCATGGTCAAAGGTATCAATGTTGAAGACCCATACCAAACCTGAACAAGAAGTCAAAATGAAGAAAAATCACAGCAGGTTTTAAGGGGACACAAAGTTGTCAGTACCCTGGGAACCAATCCCTCAATAATACTAAAAAAAGCTTTCACAGATTCTAAATTATGCTTCTATTTGGCAAGTGTCAGTGAACTGAATTGCCACTTCTTAATTTTAAAGTCTGCACTTCACATCACTTCTTTCAGAATCACAGCAATGATATGGCGCAGGAGGAGGCCATTCAGCTCATATCAAACTATCCTTTAGCAGTTAAATTTCTTTGAAAATACAAACACTAATGCAACAAGGATTTAAATGAAGTGGCTAGTCTTCCCAATGAACACAAACATGCCTACAACGAAAGTACACAACTTACCTGCAATTCACACCAAGCTACTTCCACTGTAGTTTCTGTGTCTAGACCTTTATAGACGGTTTTGAAAGAACCTCTCCCAATTTCTATATCAAACTTCAAAAACCTCCCATCAGGGGAGGTTGCCACAGCCTTAGTCTCTATTTCTTCATTATCTTCTTGTGCCTTCCTCTCTTGACTTTTTGCCTCTTCCGCTTCTTTGCTCTCTGAACTGTCATCATCGTTAACTTTCAACTCGGTTTCCTCTTTAATTGGAACAGTTTTTTGTTTTTTTCTGTCTTTGCTGCTACTGGTTGTAGTCCCTGCGTGGTTGCAGACATCGGCATCGAGTGAACGAACGGTAGCCCTAGGTCGTTCATCGCCAATTCCAGCGACTGTGCTTCCGTCCTTCGTATTGCCATCAACGCACTTTTCACATTTTTCTCCAGCAAAAACAGGAATTGCCGCAGTGACCGAGTCAACTGTCGTAGCTTGTACAGGAGGTTGCGCTTCGTTATTAATAGTAATACTGCTTATTAATGAAGCTGCATTATCCGATTCGGGTGGCGAAACGATAATACATGTCTTACTGGGCAGATGGTCCAACGCTGTAACGTTGGAATCACAGATCACACTTCTCCTGATAAAACGTTGGTGCTCTGCTTTGCTGTCCTTATCCATAGTATGTCGCCGCCTCCTAAGAGCCTTAAACTCTTCTTTTTTCCTCAAACTTACTCCAAAACGCTCCCCTATTGTCGTATCTGAACTAGAATTGGTACCATTTTTAGGGGGGCGCAATAATGACCCAACATTGTCTGCGTTTTCCGACATTTCCACAAAAACTCGATTCCCAAAAGACTTCCCCAAAAGAATTCAGTGGTTTCTCTTCGAACAAGATTTCAACGCGAAGCACACTGCCGGTCGAATGGTTGAAATGCAATAAAAAGTACCAATTACGCGTAGAGACAAACGCAACCTGATTTTCTTTGAGGAGTCAAAATAACTGCCTGCTATGTTTGTGCAAAGAGTCGGGTCCCTGGAACTGAAGCGTTCCGGTATAAAAAATGAGATACGCAATATTGTCCAACTCAATCAATTGCAACGCAGCGACATAAACATGGACCATCTGATGTGATCCATCCATCCTTAATTAAAAATTTCGAACAATTTTCATCCAGTCTTCATTTCGCAAAAGGGCGATAAAGAAATTTAAAATGAAAATGAAAATCCAACCGATATAAACAAGGCCAAAACAGTTCCTTATTCCCGAATTAACTCCAAAAATAATACTTAAAAACGGCCAGAACAAAAAAAAAAGGACAATCAACGCAACAATCCCTTTCAGCGATGCTGCTAGTTTCTGTTCCCCCACTAGAACAATTCCACGGTTATGGAAATGCGTCGGTTTTTTTAAGCACAGATGATATACAACGCCACGACTGCCCCGTCGATGCCATAAGGTTCTGCTCTTTCAAGCTTTCAAAATGGATGCGATGCCCATGGTTTTTTTAAAAAAAGTCAGCAAAATTCAAATAACCAACAGAAGTGCAGGCTGCCAGATGGACTAGGCCGGGATGCTGCAACAATAGAAAACCCCAGGGTAAGGTCGATCTGCCGGGGGAGAGGCTCACTGCAGAGCTGTCCACATACGTAACATCCCGGCTTCTTCTCTTCCTCTTACACTAGAATCGACTTTTCAAATAAAAAATATCCCCAACTGGTTTCCTTAACGAACAAGTATCGTAGATCCAAGCCCGAGCCCCCCACACAGAACGGGGGAGGGGGGCAAAGCGAGTAAATCAAGCGAATCTCTCAGCTCGAAAATAGACACGTTCTTCCTCCCAACTGTAAATGGCGGATACACTGCCTCTAACTCACTTACTGGCACTTTCCGAGAAGCTGAGCGCTCGAGCTCAAGGCAACCCATTCACATGCGCAACACCACCGCACAGCCAATTGGGAAACGTAGTTTTTCCATTACAACTAATAGTGTTGGCGCACTGTTCGATTTGAAACACGCAAAAAAAGAACTACAGTTCCCATCATGCTACGAGAACATGTCAGTTGGTTGGCGTTTATTTATTCCGCCCACTTTGCGTCTCTGCGGGAGCGTTGAGCTGAGCACGTGATATGAATAATAGGAGGACGGAAAAGGATGAGCTGTGGGTACCAAGGGAGGGGGCGAGGCTGGTTTTGGAAGCTTTGGTTATTGAAGGTGGAAAAGATTATATTTATTAAAATATGCAATGATCTTCTCCAACTGCACATTCCTTCTGAAAGACACAGGTTTTAAATTGTATAAATCGTACATCGTTGCATGGTGGCGTGGTAGATTCTCTCCTGGATGGTGATTCTCCAAATGAAATAAAGTGAAATAAAACCTTCGTAAGTAATTCCAGAACAAACATAAATCTTAATTAACATACAGCGTAACTGACAGGGTTCAGAATCTAGAATGAGAATAAAGCTGATTAAAGCATTCTGGGTGCGTAAAATTTATCAAAATTAATTTCTGTTTCAATTTCTGTTTATTCAGGACCCGCTGGGCCTCGTTAAAACCACGACACTGGATATTGCACCGTCATAGTGAACAAAGTAAAATACATAGTTAAATGCTACTGAAAACTTAATTCGCTCGTTCATTTTCGTTCGACTACGCTGATTTCTTCGGTTAGCTTTAATTGTTTCAGTGGCCAGCAGAAATACACGACGATGGACTAGCTCTTGAAGGCAAGGGCACTATGTTTGCAATGTAAATGTACATGAAGACATTGCAGTAAGATCAAGAGAACTTGTTTGAACATCGACTGATTTGCTTCAATTGTAAACCTAGTTAAAAGGATATATCAATGGCCTTTTGACAGGCCAATATTTTATAAGGAGAAATTGAAAATATGAGCAGGAGTAGGCTATTTGCCTTTAAGCCTACTCTACCATTCAATATGATCATGGCTGATCATCCAACTCAGCACCCTGTTCCTGCTTTCTCCCCATACCATTTTACCCCATTAACCCTAAGAACTATATCTAACTCCTTCTTGAAAACGTTGAATGTGTTCGCCACAGCCACTTTCTGTGACACAGAATTCCACAGGTTCACCACTGTCTGGGTGAGGAACTTTCTCCTCCTCTCAGTCCTAAATGACCAACCCTATATATTTAGACAGTGACCCCTGGTTCTGGACTCTCCAGACATTGGAAATATTATTTTCATTTATTCACTCGTGGGACGTGGGTGTTGCTGGCTGGCCAGAATTTATTGCCTGTCTTAGTTGCCTTTGAGAATGTGGTGGTGAGCTGCCACCTTGAACCACAGCAGTCCATGTGATATGGGATGGCCCATAATAGGCTTAGGGAGGGGATACAAGGATTTTGAACCAGCAACAGTAAAGGAACGACAATATATTTCCGATTCGATGGTGAGTGGCTTGGAGGGGAACTTGTAGGTAGTGGTGTTGCTATGTATCTGGTGCTCTTATCCTTCTAAATGAAGGTGGTTGTGGGTTTGGAAGATGCTATCTAAGGATCTTTGATCAATTTCTGCAGTGCATCTTGTAGACAGTACCCACTGCTGCTACTGAATGTCAGTTGTGGAGGGAGTGGATGCTTGTGATATGATGCCATTCAAATGGGCTGCTTTGGCCTGAATGGTGTCAAGCTTCTTGAGTGTTGTTGGAACTGCACACTATCAGGCAAGTGGGGAATATTCCATCACACTCATTTCTTGAATCTTGTAGATGGTAGATAGGCTTTAGGGAGTCAGGAGGTGAGTTATTTACCGCACTTTAGCCTCTAACCTGCTCTTGTGTGGTTACCCCAACCAAGGATGTTGATAAGGGGAAATTGATTCGGTGATGGTAACACCATTGAATGTCAAGGGGCAATTGTTTGATTATCTCTTATTGGAGATAATCATTGCCTGGCATTTTCAAGGTGCAAATGTTACTTGCCAGTTGTCAGCCCAAGTCTGGATATTGTGCAGATCTTGTTACATTTGTGCATGGACTGCTTCTGTATCTGAGGAGTTGTAAATAGTGTTGAACATTATGCAATCATCTGTAAACATTCACGTTTCTGATCTCATGATGCAGGGAAGAACATTGATGAAGCAGCTGAAGATGGTTGGGCCTAGTCTGAGAAATTCATGCAGAAATGGCCTGCAGATGGGATGACTGATCTCCAACATCCACAGTCATCTTCCTATGTGCCAAGTATGACTCCACCCAGCGGAGAGTTTGCCCTGTGATACCTATTGATTCCAGTTTTGCAAGGGCTCCTTAATGCCACAGTTGTTCAAATGCAGCATACTTGTCAAGGGCTGTCACTCTCACCTCTGAAATTCAGTTCTTTGTCCGTGTTTGAACGAAGGCTGTAATGAGGTCAGGAGCTGAGTGGCCCAGGCAAAACCCAAACCAGGCATCACTGAGCAAGTTATTGCTGAACAGTGCTGCTTGATAAGCATTGTTGATGACACCTTCCATCTCTTTAATGATGATTGAGAGTAGACTGATGGGTTGGTAATTGGCCAGTTTTTTGTGTATAAGGTGTTATTGGACAATTTTCCACATTGTTGACTAGACCACCAGTGTAACTGTACTGAAACACTTGGCAAGGGGAGCAGCACGTTGAGGAGCACAGGTCTTCAGTACTGTTGCTGGAATGTTGTCAGAGCCTTTAGCTTTGCAGTTTCCAATGCGTCCAACTGTTCCTTGATGTCACATGAAGTGAATCGAATTGACTGAAAGCTGATATCTGCGATGTTGGGGTGTGACTAGAAGAGGCTGAGATGGTTTATCCGCTCAGTACTTCTGGCTGAAGATTGCTGCGAATGCTTCAGCTTATCTTTTGCACTGTTTACTATGTCTAGTCCTGTTTGAATTTCATAGATTTATATGAGATTTCCCCCCCCCACCCCGATCATTCTTCTAATTTCCAGTGAATATTGTCCTAACTGATCCATTCTCTCTTCATATATCAGTCCTGCCACGCCAGGCATCAGTCTGGTGAACCTTTGTTGCACTGCCTCCAAAGCCAGAACATTCTTCCTCAGTTAAGAAAACCAAAACTGCACACCTACTATTCCAGGTATAGTTTGCCAAGGTTCCATACAATTGCAGCAAGACATTCATGCTCCTGTCTTCAAACCCTCTTGTTGCAAAGACCAACATACAAGTTGCCTTCTTCGACACCTGCTGCAGCTGCATGCTTACTTTCAGCAACTGGTGTACAGGTACATACAGGTCTTGATGCACCTTCCCCCTTTCTCAATATATTACCATTTAGATAATAAACTGTCTTTTTTTGCTACCAAAGTGCAACCTCACATTTATCCACACTGTACTTCATCTACTCACTCAATTTACCCAAATCACGCTGATGCATTTCAGCATCCTTCTCATAGTTCAACATCTCTTACAGTTAGTTGCCTCATCTAAATATTTAATATATATTGTGAATAGGTGGGGCCCTAGCACTGATCCCTGTGGTACCCTACTTGTCACCACCTGCAACTCAGAAAAGGTTTATTCATATTCTTTGTTTCCTGTCTGCCAGCCAGTTCTCTATCCATGTCAATACATTAGCCTCAATCCCACATGCTTTAATTTTACATGCTAATCTCTTATGGGGGACCTTATCAAAAACATTTTGAAAATCCAAGTAAACCACATCTACTGGATCCAACTTTATCAACTATACTAGTTACATCTTCAAAAAACATCAGTAGACATGATTTATCAAGCATGATTTCCCTTTCATAAATCTATGCTGACTTTGTCTGATTCTGATACAATTTTCCAAGTTTTTTACTATTAAATTTTTTCCAGCATTTTCTCTACTATTGATGTCGGGCTCACCGATCTATAATTCACTACTTTATTCTTAGAAACTGTTCCAGACCAGAGTCGATAGAATCTTGAAAGGTGACCGCCAATGCATCCATTATTTCTCGGACCACTTCCTTAAGTGTTGTAGGATGTAGGTTATTAGCTACTAGGGATTTATTGGCCTTTAATCCTATCAATTTCCCCAACACCATTTCCCTACCAAAACTGATTTCTTTCAATTCATTCATCTCACAATACCTTGTGATCCCCAACATTTTTGGAACATTATTTGTGTCATCCTTTGAAGCAAAACCAAAATATGTACTTAGATAACAAGGTCTAGAGTTGGATGAACACAGCAGGCCAAGCAGCATCAGAGGAGCAGGAAAGCTGACGTTTCGAGTCCAAAACATCAGTTTTCCTGCTCCTCCGATGCTGTTTGGCCTGCTGTGTTCATCCAGCTCTACACCTTGTTATCTCAGATTCTCCAGCATCAGCAGTTCCTACTATCCCAAAATATGTACTTACTTGGTCTGCCATCTCTTTATTCCCCATTATAACTTTCCCTGTTTCTCACTGTAAGGGACCTACATCTGTCTTCACGAAATACTTTCTCTTCACATATCAATAAAGGGTTTTACAAACAATTTGTATATTCCTTGCAAACTTACTCTTATACTCTATATTCCCCATCTTAATTAATCCCTTTGTCCTTCTTTGCTGAAATCTAACCTGCTCCCGATACTCAGGTCTGCTACTTTTTTGGCCAGTTTGTATGCCCCATCCTTGGATCTAACACTGTTTTTAATTTCCTCTGTTAACCATGGTTGGGCCACCTTTTCCATTTTATTTTTGTGCAAAACGGGAATAAACAATTGTTGCAGTCCCTCCATTAACTGTGTAAGTGTTTGGCATTGCATATCCATCATCATCATATTATGGTCACATTCCCCAAACCATTTCAGACAGCCTGACTATGACTTATACCTTTCTCATTACATAATACCCAATCTAGGATGACCTGCTGTCTGATTCTTTCCTCTGTTTGTTGATTGAGAAAACCATCTCATATACACTCTAGGAATTCCTTCCCTATGGCATTGTTACTGATTTGACTTGCTCAATCTACATACAGATTAAAGTTGTCCATAACCACAACTGTATCTTTATTGCATGCATCTCTAATTTCCTATTTAACACCTTCCCAGTGTTGGTGGATTCTGCAGATAATGATGCCAGGGTGAGAAGAGAATCAGATGCACTGGCTATGATTAGGTAAGTAAGAGTGGAATCAAGTGAGGGTGGATCAAATAAACTGGAAAGTGGAAGAGGCATATTGGCGCAGCATAGTGTCATTGTCCATGTCAAAAGCTGAAGAGAGGATAAGCAGGATGAAGAGGGATAAATCACACCTTCACATTAACATTGGATGTGATTGGTGACAAAGTTAATGCTGTTAGGTTGTGTGTTGGCAGAAACCTGCTTATGGAGATTTGAACATGGATTTATGAGAAATATGCACAGATTTGGAAACCCCAGTAATTCTCTGTCTAGTGACCGTAGTACTAAAGATTTAACTCAATAATCTCAGTCTGACGAAAGGATATATTTTTTGTTGAAGGATTGTTTTAAAATTACACCTTCTGCTCTGTTTGTTCCTTGTCAGAAGAATTACAAGGTTGAATAAATAAATATTGTTTTCAAATTGAGCTGGTTGTTGCAGTTTTCGGTTAACTTCTATAACACTGTAATAGTAAATGAAAGCTGCTTCATTAGAGGACTTGAGGCTGATGTTTCGGGCCTAGGCCCGAAACGTCAGCCTCTCTGCTCCTATGATGCTGCTTGGCCTGCTGTGTTCATCCAGCCTTGCACCTTGTTGTCTCGGATTCTCCAGCATCTGCAGTTCCTACTATCTCTCATTAGAGGACTTATTGTGGAGAAAATGCTTCTGGCATTTATTCACAGCAACTGTTACAGTGTCCCATTTAAGCACTGCTCACAGTGTCACAAGAAAATCTAACAAGAATAAGAGGTCAGAATGGAATCACAAACACTATACAATAAGAAGGAAACAAAAGCTATTGTTCTAAAGGAAGGAAAAACAAAAAGCTGAACAGACTAATGCATACACTTGAACCACATATTTCCTGTGTCAAGTGTGACAGAAATCCACCATCTTGCAGTGAAACAGTTAGTCTAAGTTGCTATACTGTTGTTTTACATAAAGTGCATGCCTCATTTATTCCATGTGTATTATCAGTCTTAGCTTTTAGATTAATAGATCTGACAAATGTTAATTGATAAAGAATTTAAACCAGTGTAACATGCTGAATAGGTAGAACTGTCCTGTTAATACTACTAACTTTAAAATTAGAATATAGGTTTTTTAATATTGTATCGTCTTTCAAATCAATCCAGATTAAATCTACCCAAGGACAGATTTGTTTGATCATTGTATGTCATTTGGAGGTAAAACTTGGGTGAAGTATTGATAGTGCTAACTTATTTAATAGCACAAATATGATACTGCTATCAGGAAAACCTGAAAAAAAAATCAAGAATGGCTGAACTTAAATATTTTCTGCTGTAGTTTTAGTTACTGATAATTTGAGAACAACTCCTGTATCTAGTTAATCAGTGGAGTTTGGTGATGAAAACAATGAACTATTGTAACAACTGTTTGTATTTACCTAGTTTTAACATAGAAATAGATTTTAAAAATGTCTTTGAAGCAGACAGTAGCAGAGAAATTTCAAAATGAAGTTCACAAAAGGCTTAAGACAATTTAAATGAGGCAAAGGGAAGAGAGCATGATAGAAAGCCAGAGTCAGAGAACTGAAGACCAACTGGGTCTGAAAAGGGTTTTCATAGACATCACATGTAGCTCAGTGGCACCTTGGCAGGTTATGTTGCCACATCCAGTTACAGAGAACACAGAATTCAGCTCACATTCCAGTGCAGGAATTTAACTTCTTTCGTGGTGCCACCTTTTGGTTTAAAATTAGGCCCATCTGCCTTCTCAGTTGGGTATAACAGGTTCTATAACACCATGCTGAAGAAAAGTAGTGGAATTGTCTCTGGTATTCTAGCTGATATCTCTCCCTCAACTATATAGTTTGAAAAAAAAAACAGATTACACCTTCATTATTGCATTGCTGTTTGTGAGAGCCTGTTTTGTACAAATTAACTGCCAAATTTTCTGCATTACAGAAACATTTCTGACTGCAAAAGTCACAAAATTTGCTATATAAATGGATTTTTCTACATCCTGTTACATTTCAAAGATTGTATTAGCTGCAGAAATATCAGATAAAATGGGGTAGATTCAAGATGGGGAGTAGGGGGAAGGGTAATTAGTATAGCAAATTTTGAGATACATCATTTTGTTAAATGGAATTAAGTTAATCCTAATTAAGGTTAATAACTTAGTCCCTAGAAGAGAAAAGTAAACCAAATGGTGTAGAGAAGCAAAACACATTTGAAAATACAGATATATAAAATCTTTAAAAGTACATTTCAAGTTCATACAGGTATTAAGTTGCAAATTAACATCATTTATGAAGGAATAGAGTACAATAGGAGGAAAACAACATTGAATTTGTGTAGAACCTCAGTTAAACTACATTTGGAATATAATGCCAGTCAGGACTCCATTCTAGCAAAAGGAAGCTAAAATAACTGCACAGAGGCCAGTATCCCATCACCAAGTCAGCCAGCTCAGAGCCAGTCCCTAGAATGAAGAGACTCTGAATATTGGGTTTATATTTGTCAGCCAGGGCTTCTCAATTGGCCCAAGTTAACAATCCCAATTAGGGAACTCGTAGTCAATGGATCCACCTGACTCTCGTTCCAATCACTACAGAAGCATCAGAGAAAGTTGAGAAAGGACGTATAAACATTACTAAAATTGATAGAATGCAGCTTTCCCATTAAGCAGGCAGAAGGGTTTGAGGTGTAGAGAGAGGCTGAATAGGCTGGGGCTATTTTCCCTGCAGCATCAGAGGCTGAGGGGTAATCTTATAAAGGTGTATAAAATCATGAGGGGCATGGATTGGATAGGGGGGTCCAAAACTAGAGGGCATAGGCTTAAGGTGAGAGGGGATAGATATAACAGGGATATAAAGGGCAACTTTTTCATGCAGAGAGTGCCGCATGTGTGGAATGAGCTGCCAGAGGAAATGGTGGAGGCTGGTACAATTACAACATTTAAAGGGCATCTGGATGAGTGCATGAATAGGAAGAGTTTAGAGGGATATGGGGCAGATACTGGCAAATGGTACTAGATTAATTCAGGATATTTGGTCATCATGGATAGCTGAACCGAAGGGTCTTTTTCTGTGGTGTACAACTCTACGTTGAAGAATCTGTCTCCAGGTGCTAGAAGATCAAGAAGGGAGTCTCTAGATATGCTTAATGGGACGAATGCAGAGAAACTGATTCCACTTCCATTGAGATTCCACAAAAATGGAACATAAGTATGTGATAGCCATTAACAGATCAAATAAATGGGAATTAATTGATTGTCATTATGTGGAATTGTTCAAGCAGAGATTCATCTTTTTTAAAAGATAAATGGAAAATCCTAGTTATTTACAAAAGTAAAAAGTCAGAAGGCTTCAATCATCTAGCAGGACAAAGGCAGCAAATGCATGGGAACATCACCATTTGAAAATGTGTATCCAAGAAACACACCATCCTAACTTGAAACTATATTGCTATTGCTTTACTGTCAAAATCCTAAATTTCCTTTTCTAGCAGTACTGTTGTACATTGACAGCCCAAGGACTGCAGCAGTTGAAGAATACAGCTGACTACTACTTTCTTTAGGGCAATAAATGCTGGCCAAGCCAGTGATACCCATATCCCATGAATGAATGAAAAAAAGATCATTTTTGTCATACAAGCATCAACAAAGTCAACACTAAATACTACCTATTTTCTATTCTAATGTCCAGAATTAACATGAGTTAAAACAGTTCAGAGTCACAAAATTGTTATGGTGCAAAAAGAGGTCATTTCTTCCACTGCATCCATACCAGGTGCTAGAAGATCAAGAAGGGAGTCACTAGATATGTTTAATGGGATGAATACAGACAAACTGATTCCACGTCCATTGAGACTCCACAAATATGGGACATAACTATGTGACAGCCATTAACAGATCAAATAAAGAACCCAATGGGAATTAATTGATTGTCATCACGTGGAATTGTTCAAGCAGAATGAGCATCATGGCTTAGTGCTATTCTTCCACTCTAGCCTAGTAACTCTGACATTATTTATATCTAAATAATTATTTCATGCCCTCATGAATGTTTCAATTGGATTTGCCTCCTCATACTTCAATGCATTCCAGATCTAAACCACATGCAGTGTGAAAAAATAATTCTCACAACATATTCACTTTTGTTCTTCGTGCTTTTATGAGAACATTTCTTCCTGTCTGCTCTGTCCTGATTTTGAAAATTTTAATCAAATCTCCTCTTAGCCGTCTCCTCTCCAAGGAAAACAATCACAACTTCTCCAATTCTCCAACCTATCTGCATAACTGAAGTTTTTCATCCCTGAAACTATTTGCATAAACTTCTTGTACTCTCTCCAATGCATTTACATCCTTCTGAAACTGTGGCATGCAGACTGCAACCAAGGTCTAACTCTGTTTTATATAGGTTCAGCATGACCATCCCGCTTTTGAACTCTATGCAAGTCGATTTTATGCACAAGTTGGAACACGATGCAGGACAATAGAAAATAGCCATTCATAAGTACGAGGAAACATTCGTATGTTGGATCTTTAAAATGATCATTAATGCACCCCTTACAGGGCTGTATTCGTAAGTATGAGCATTGGTAAGTCAAATGTTAGGGGCGGCACGGTGGCTCAGTGGTTAGCACTGCTGCTTCACAGCCTCAGGGACCTGGGTTTAATTCCAATTTTAGATGACTTGCCTGTGTGGAGTTTGTGCATTCTCCCTGTGTCTGCGCGTTTTCTCCAGGTGCTCTGGTTTCCTCCCACAGTCCAAAGATATGTATGTTAATTGGATTGGCCATGCTAAATTGCCCATCGTGTCCAGGCTAAGTGAGTTAGCCACGGGGAAATGCAGGGAAAGGCTTAAGATAGGGGTGTGGGTCTCAGTGGGATGCTCTTTGGAGGGTCATTGTGGGCTCAATGGTCCAAATGGCCAGATTCCACATTGTTAGGGATTCTATATGGATATGGTTCTAAATGTTTGTAAATTGGGGAACCCTAGTAGAGACACATTTCTCTGTTCTTGCACAACCTTTAGAATAGTGCCCTTTATTTTCTACTGTCCCTCCAATTTCTTGTGGTCTTTCTACCAAAGTGCATCACCTCACACTTTTCTGTATTGAAACTTGCCAACTATCCATCTACTCCACCAACTTGTCAGTGCCCTTTTGGAGCTGTATAAAGTGTCCTCAAAGTTTACAATGTTTCCAAGCTCTGTACTGTCTGCAAATTTTGAAATTTTCCCCATGCACTCCAAGATCTCAAGAGTTTTTAATGCAGTCAGCATCTTCCATCAACAAAAACATTATCACAATCACTAATGTTAACCAATTTATTGGTGATATTTTTACTTTAACCTTTTTTTTTGCTTTCTTCCTTTCTTTCACAGAACAGTGAAAACATACAGTGCACCCTAACCCATCTTCTATCAGGGCACCAAAGTTTTAAAACAATATATTAATAATGGAAGTACATAACCAGATATCAGTGTTAAAAGTTAGAGGATAAAACTTATTTATTCTTCCTATTCTGGCCAACTAAAAGAAGACAATCGTCTAACAATATACTACAAACATAGTGCCCCTAACACCTTGGACTCTTAAGTTACTTGGATAAGTACATGAATAGGAAAGGTTTGGAGGGAGATGGGCCAGGAGCAGGCAAGTGGGACTAGTCTGGTTTGAGATTATGTTCAGCATGGACTGGTTGGACCGAAGAGTCTGTTTCCATGCTGTATGACTCTATGATTCTATTTGCTAGGACTGTTTAGTCAGGACACGTCATAGCCACACATAAAATCAGGTAAAAAAATTGGAAATACTTCACACCTCTAGCAGCATCTATGGAACAGAAACATGTTAAACTTTCCAGATCAGTGACCTTTCTTCAATGCAGCGAAAAGTAGATATGTTATTGTTTAAAGCTAATGAAAAGGTGAAAAGTGGTGGACAAAAGGGAAGGTCTGTGATAGGGTGGAAGGTGGGAGAGATTAAGTAACAAAAGAAAAAATGAAAGAACTGCGGATGCTGTAAATCAGGAACAAAAACAAAGTTGCTGGAAAAGCTCAGCAGGTCTGGCAGCATCTGTGAACGAAAAAACGGAGTTAACGTTTTGGGTCCAGTGACCCTTCCTCAGAACTGCCTAGTGGTAATAGGCCAGGTTCAAATCAGTTTCCAAATGATATCAACAGCACAGGACACAAAGTACTAGTGTATGCATTATAAAGTGGTTGTCTATCTAAGTCAATCCATCTTAGGACAGATGCAATTACAGCTCCATACGTATTTCACTTGAAATACATTGTGTATATGCAAGTGTCTATCAAGTTAGAAAACTCAATCATGAGTAAAATCCACAAAGTTGAGCATCATCCAATGTTATGAAATGAGAAAAGTAAAATCTTCTGGGCATTTTTCTAA